TAGCAGGACACTTTGGCTCAACAGCTGCTAGCGTAACCAATTAGTAACTTATGACAGGGATACTTCTGTTGTTAAGGAGGTCCTTTGGCATAAGCTGCTGTTGCTGTAAAAATAAAATACAATATTTGTTTACTTAGTAACCCCTTATAGCAGCAACTGCAGAGCCGGAGCCAAACTCAACTGGCAGGCAATCCTCTTTCGGATATTATGTTTTCCTGCTGCAGTTACACATGCATTTAATAATAATAATAACTTTATCTGCAGATGTCCTTATCAGTTTCATTTTATGCAGCTAACAATGGCTGTGCTTTCCCCATTGAAGCCATTCTATTCCCCCTACCCCCTCGCTATGTGCATCTCTCTAACGTAACTGAAAACTTTTTACGTTATTATTATTTTACCATATGAATTACTTGAATATTTATCAAGCTGTAAACTTCAAAGCGTTTGGAGAAAAGTATTAAAATAATTTTCTAGCTCTTAGTTTAATAAAAATATATAAAATGCGACTCGTTGACGTAAGCAAATTAATTAAATTAAAAATGATTCGTTTCCTTTGACAATTAAAATATTTAAAAAATTTGAATCAATTATCTTGAAATTCAAATATAAAAATGATTAAAAAAATATTATCAGTAGACTACAATCTTAATCAACAAGAAGAAGAACCTGCCATTGCTATCACCAGCAGACTCTAGGTTTTGCCAGCCCTTTTCCCCAGCTCGAGGCTATAACCACTTGAGAATTGTAAGCAGTGAAAAGTCGCGAAAGCCTACTTTAATGTGTTACTGCAAAAATGCTGATAATCTGCCTCATACACTTGCACTTCCCTCCTTTACCATACCCTATTCAGATTATTTGCTGGTAAGAGAAATATAAAAACTAAGACTTATCGAATAAGATCGACTTGAAAGCAGTTTGCCATGCCCAAGGCTTCATATTTTATGGCTTCCCCTGGCATATGGGCCAGAAATGAAAGTCCCTACAGAACGTCTTGCCAAGGATATAAAATGTTCGATGTCGTCGCATAAGGGTTTCGCTTTTCTTTTTTTTTGTTTTGGATAATAGCGTCGACGGCAGCAGACAATACAAAACTATAAATATGCACACAGTCATGGACAAGTCACAGTAACCGAGTGGTGTCGACCAAGGGGGTCGAGGGAGGGGCAGGGGATTGCAGGGCTGAGTAGGGGCAAACACATGCATACATCGTATAAGCTGGAGTCGGAGCTGTCTGACACAAAAATGGAATGTCGCAGGCAAAGCAATGCCAAAGCCCCTCCCTCTCTCTCTATCGTCTCCCTGTCTCTGGTTGTCGCTGGCGCTGCAAGCAAAATGCAAAATTTATTGCAGAAAACTACAGAACAGCGGGTGGTGCGTTGTGGCACAGCGAGGGGCGGTATGCCGCTCGGTGTTGCCTACACTGCCGCCGCCGCTGCCACCGGATGAAGTGAGGCGTGCAAAATGTGTTAAGTCTATTGAGTGTATTAAAGCAAATAACTGCTGCGAATGAAATACATGCAACAACAACTACGACGACGACGACGACGACGACGACGACGACGGCGACGGCGACGGCGACGATGGCGATACATGCGGATGCCAGTGGCAGCGGGGGCTGTATGGGGCGTGGCAGGGCTAAGATACGTAAATGCCAAACAGCTAACGCGCACACACATACACACCCACACACACACACGCTCGCACACCCACACACACTCATGCAAATATGAATATAAATGAACAGCGACTGAGCGCGGCTAAATCAAGTGTGTGCGTGTGTGTGTGTGTGTGTGTGTGTGTGTGTGTGTGTGTGTGTGTGTGTGTGTGTGTGTGTGTGTGTGTGTGTGTGTGTGTGTGTGTGTGCGTGGGTGCGGATACCAAAAGTTGAAAGTTAAACTTATGGGCGCAAAAGCAGATCGACAAGGGTATTACAACTAAAACAAAAGTGTGAACAAGCGCAGCTGCTGTGTGCGGTAATAACGAGGCCACGACAATGTGTGTGGCATTTCAAGGGAATGCGTAGGGACGGATAACAGGCGATGGGCGAGGTGCGAGGAGCGGTAGGGTGAAGCGTGTTAAATTTACAATTAAGCAACCCAGTCGCAAAACCTCCGATGCCCGCCGCCACGCCAGACATATTTGCTAAGCTCCCGTGACATAGTGGCAAATGGGCTTTTCGCGTCGCCACCTGCTCAGGTTCTGCCCTTGCATACCATTTACAGCTGCCTCTTTGCCGAGGCAATTCAATAAAGTGCCAGCACAGCCCGGGCTGCAAGTGTCAATACAATCAGTCACACTTAAAAGCGCAATTAAAGACACAAACTGAGCGAAAGTGCGAACCCATCAAGGAACAGTCTCTGATGAGGTGGCCCAAAAAGGACAAACAGCCCGAAGCAAACATCGAGCCTGCCAACGAGCAGGCGAAACTCACACAGTGCTGGCTTAACGAAAGTGCGCCAGCTCCAATAAATGGGCACAAAATGCTCAGGCTGTTCGGGTTGGGCATCATATAAGTAATTAAAACTTATATGCATTAATAAGTTGTGTACTAATTGAGCGAATTGCTCAAGATTGTATTCAAAACCAGCATGAGTCCACTTCACGTTGAGTTTGAATAGAAAATCAATCGACCAAATGGAACTGGGCCCTCTATGCGAATTTCATATTATCAAGTGAAGTGAATTATCATGTATATAATTAATGGCATACTAAAATATCATTTTAAATTTGTGGTCAAGACTATAGAAACACTAATTAATAAATGCGGGCATGTATTTAATTAGACTGGCCTTAACGCAGCCAAAGTTAGTCAATAAATCCAATCAACCAAAACACACACAATAACCATAGACGAAAACCCACATCAAAGTAGTTCGCAACCAAATGGTCTGAAATTTTGCTAACAATGCAAACAACGAACACGTCAACCCACACACACACACACACACACACACACACACACACATACACACCATAGACATGCCATTAATACTAATGGGATCAAATTAAAAAGACTCAAGCATTTCATTTTCCTAGTCTCAAAATAAGGCATGTTTTAATTGAAGAGTTTAGACCAAGCTTGAACTCGGTTTGCTCTTCTGATTTATGGATGCAAGTAGCAACAGCCTATATGTACATATTATTGGCAGTACTATATGCACATAAAAGCTAAATGAGAAATAGTATTAAATATTGTTGTTAAAATTAATTTGCATTTAATTTAATTTATGTTGCAAATTGTCGCACGATGCTAACAACGACAAGTGGCAGCAGCATCGACAACGGCAACGGAAATAAGCAGCTCTGACATACGGCAAATGGATGCCATATAGAGCACGCTCCCACTCACACACACACACACACACACACACACACACACACACACACACACACATGTACAAACTTTAACAAGTATTTACCCATAGATGCCACATGCGGCGCACAGAGCAATAACATCAACCTACAGCAAAAAGTGGCATCGCGTAGTAGGTAGCGGGCGGTGGGTGGAGCCGGCTGTGCGATTACAAAAACATCAACACTTAATATGTTTATTAAATTTGTTGCTACATCATTAGGCACTAGCAGCCATATAATGCGGCGCAAACACTTTGGCAATCGCAAACATACACACACACACACACACACCGACAGAGTGTACTGTTAATATGCGTGCGCATGTGTGTGTGTGTGTGTGCCACTGGGCGTTAATACTCTACGCCTCATAAAACGTATACTGAGGTAATTCAAACTTTGTGCAAATGCATGTTACACTTGCCAGCAGCAAAAGGAGCCATAAACGATATAAGTGTAGGCGCTTGCATATACACACGCACACACACACACAGCTCTGCATAGCATTAATAAACTTTGTGGTAACAAAAAGCCAACAAGAGAAAATTTAATTAATTATTACAGGATGCGGGTTCAAATGAAATAATTAGAACCTATAACTATTTAAAACAAAATTTCAATTTCCCTTGAAATAAAATTATATTAAATTTCGTTTGTTAAATTGTTTTCAATTCTAATTATTTTATTTATATTTTTCATAGATGAAAATAAAGTTGATTTCCATTGGATGAAATATAAAATGAGCTAAATGAAATTGAGCTTGAAGCAGTTCGGATGGTACACAAAGAAGTTTCATAAATCCATTTTTCACTTATTTTCCACAGTTGTAGATGAAAATTACAGAATCCTTTGCCTAGCGCACACTAACATCACATAATGTAACTTATACCTAGCCATTAGTCAAGACAAACAGTTTTATTTATATATATTTATTGCTTTAAAGAGCAACTAAAGGTCGCTCACACTTTATACAGGCTATTTTGGCCTGCAAATGCCAGTGCCCTACAAAAAGTGCTCGAAGCACACACACACACCCACTCACACACATAAACGCTGTAACTGCCGTGTGTGCTTTGGGCCACTTTACATGAGCTTAACGATTGTTGTTTAGACGCAGTTACAGTTACAGTTGCAGCTACAACTGCACTGTTACTTGCCCCGACAGTTCAAATATACTTAAACGAGTATATGAGCGTATGAGTATATACAAGTATGAGTACGAGTGCGAGTGCGAGTTTGCGTAGGCGAGTGCGAATTGACAGAGTTGAGGCTTTAAAAATGTGCATTGCCTACTTTTTGGGGGCCATTTGATGGGCGGTGTTGGGCGGCAGTTGGCGCTTGGCAGCTGGAAGGCGGGTGTGGGATAATTAATGTTGCCGTAACAAGTGCGTAAAGTTTGCAGCTGCTGCATAGGTGCAGCGAAAAGTTTATTTATTCGCTGTTGCAGCAAAAGTTATGCGCATTATTAATAAAAAGCAACGCGATTCTGGCATAAATTTTAATCCTCATGATTATTATTATGATAATACCCCGTAAATTTCATGAAAATATGCGAAACGCGCGCAAGGATCTCGCATAAATCCAGCTGACATCTTCCGGCAGCAGTGTCTAAGCCTTGTTTCCACTTTTCTTTCTACCCCCCTCAGCCGAGCCAAGCGAGTCAACACATTTGGACCCACTGACAATAAAGGCACGCGATCGAGACCACCAAACTGAGGTGAAAACCACCGCCAACGGCGCAGCATTTGCCACGCCCATAAGCCAATTGGACGATGAGGAGCAGGCGTTGACCATTTACCGGACGCCGCGGGCGGGCCGTTACGAGCGTCAGGTCGAAGAGGATCAGGTGGACCGTTGCAGGCTATTCGTTGAGGGAGATCCCACCAAGAATGAGCTCTACAGTCCCGAATATCCCAACCTGTATCCAAAGAACATTAACTGCACGAGAGTGATAACAGGTGAGTCACTTTGAATGCATTCACTTTTACTGAACACTTGTTTTATGTTGCATGCTAATTGCAGTGCGCAATTCAATAAGTCGAACAGAAATTCCAATTAAAAACCATTTCTGAGTCCCACGTCTTCAAGCGAGATAAGAACTTAGCTTGACTAGGTTATATACAGAAGACAGAAGTTTTTTATGGTTTTTGTAGCCTTGTAAGGGGTATTATATTTTGTTGTGAAATATATTACGCATAGAAGGAAAACATGTTTTCCACTCTTTAAAGAATATATAATATTTTAATAGGTATCTGCAGATGAGTGGATATTTCCATATCTTTCTCTCAGTCTATCTGTTTCTATGCAACGTAGTCTCTCAGTTCTAAAGCTATTGTCAAGCAACTTTGGATAGGTTCTTCTTTCTGTTGCAGGAACCGACCGGATCGGACCACTATATGTAGCTTACATAAGAGAGATCGGTTTTTCACAATTTGCTCTTAAATATTTCCGATAGTTTTACAAGGATATTTGTTCTTCGGTGTGCCGTAGAGAGCCGTTCTTTCTTCATTTTATTTAGCTAGGATTTTGTTTGATTGCTTCTAAGTAACGCACATAATGTTCACAAATGCTTTTTATTTTATAAAATGCGAATAGGCATCTGCAATTAGTGTCAGTCTAATAGAAGGCACTGTAATGCACACTTTTGAAATGAGTATGTGTGTACATCGATATGAGTAAGTGGTGCACAGTAGCTGGCATTTATTGAATACTCATCTTATTCAAAATGATTACTCAGTTTAAACATGCGGCAGTATGTGTGTAGCCTGCAGGCAATCGCTCGAATATAGTTTTATGCAAGCCAGTTCAGAGCCAACTTCCTGTGGCATGTGAATGCCGCCCGAAAGGGGGTGGAACAAGGTCTCGTAAAAGTTTATATGGCAAGCACTTTGCTGCTGACGCTACTTACTGCAAATAATTGCAAGTCTTAACCAAGATGCAGTGCGCGAAAACCATCGTGTTGACATTTCAGATGTCAGTCAGTCAGCCAATTTAGGGAGCCAGAACCAGAAGCGGGAGGGAGAAAGCCATCAGCTAACGCTTCCTATTAAAAGCGTAAGCATGTTATCCTGCTGGCCTCCAAATGCGATTTGGATTGACGCAGGGACTGGGTTTCAGTTTCTGTTTAAGATTGGGTATGAGTTTGGCTTTGGCTTTGGATTAGGATTTGGCTTTCCTGTGGCAAGGCGCAGTCATATTTGCGCTAGTTGCGCTTCACTGGCTTTTGACTTGACGCTTATCTGTAAACAGGGCCAAAATCATTTGTCAGTTAAGACAAAATGCGAACAACATGACTGCAAGCGGAGCGAGCAGCCCAGATAAAACCTACAGCGTATGAAGTGATTGACATTCTATAGGCACGCATCAGCGGATACCATCATCGGATTCAGCAGTATCTGCGTCTCAGTGAGTAACAGAGAGAGAGACTTTGTGTGTGTGCGTGTGCTTGCGTCCTGTATTAACTTTACATATGTGCGTTAGCTTAGACAGACAGCTAGAAAGATAGATAGATAGAAAAAGATAGGCTGACTGCCATGGGGAGTGGCAGGCTCATTTGCATAACAATATGGTGCGCCGGCCGATAGACAGTGCCTGAGGGCCAATTGGGTGGAGGGGGGTACGAACATGTTGCCTGTTGGCGGTTGTCTGATGCCAGCGATCCAAATGTTAAGCGGCTGCATTAGTATCAAGCGTGTGTGTGTGTGTGTGCTTGCACGTGTGTGTACGTATAATTTACTCCAATTCATCTCTGTCTGTACTTGTGTGTGTGTGTGTGGCAAGCGTTAAGGACACACGACTTCTCAGTTATGTAAGTCAATTGCTGTTAATTCATTCATCTTAATTCCCAACTACAAATACGGTGCAACTGATTTCTAAAGCATTTTGCTCTACACATTTCATGCAACAAATATAAAAAAAATACAAGATTAAGGTAAATGTAGTCTAGACGTAGAAGAATAAAAGAGAAAATGCTTGGAATTCAAATCCAGAACTGTGGCCACTGTGATACATATAAAACATACCACTGCTCCAATTTATGACTCCATATGAATTATGCTATTAGCAACTCTTATAAAATTCAAGATTACTTTAAAAAATGCGGCGAATCGATCATTTTCGAAGTAGGGCGAGAGTGAGACAAGAGAGGGAGTAACAGTGATAAAAAATTGGGAATACATTCATTTATAATTCCTCTACCAAATTTGCTGTTCGAAATCGAAAAAGGTCAAAATTTCGAAGAAGATAGCAGACACTGTTGATGCTGATCACAATGATCCTTATAGATATCTCATCAACTGGTATAGAGACATATTTCGTTTGTTTCAAACGAAAGAACTCAACCTGATACCTATTTTATGCACACACGTATATTTTATAATATTGTAAAGTACTGATTGCACATAAAACTCTAAAATCTTTTCCATTTGCATTGTCTAAAATACCCTTTGACGCAAAAGCTGACGTGGACATAGGTATGTGTCTCACAGGTTGTATACAATATGGCAAATAATTAGTTTTGGGTCTCAGAGGGAGCTCTTTGAAACGTTTGCGTAATGTAATTACAATGAGTTTGGTTTTGTCTATCAATTGGCATTGCCAGCTTTGTGGTTAGTTTTTCATTTAGTCTTCAATTTGTGTTGAGCTGCGTGGGCAGGAAATGCTATTCAGAAGTCCAAATTGATGCTCCAGCCCACATGCGCCGGAAGGGCAAGCGAGCGGCAGGGGAGCGTATACCATAGATGGAAGCTCTGCTTTCTTTCATTTCATTTTCTCCTAGTGTTTGTGTCAAGGCCAATCAGAGTGAAAATCCCCATTCACATTCAGAGCCAGCACAAACACATCGCATTTGTTTGACCAAACCTCTGTGATTTACACTTTCATTACATTTCCATTATGTTATGTATACCAAAAAAGGCCCTAGCCTAGCCTGGTGTGGTTAGCCCAGCTGCCGCCACAAGCTGTAGATCCTTTTATGGGATATTGTGTGTGCGTGCGCCTTTTCAAGTATTATACGCCGGGCCATTGATGCGCTCTAAGGTTTCGGTCGTTATCAGACGTTTATCCCATCTGTCAGCTCGGCACAGACGCATCTTTTCAGCGCCGGAGTTCATTGGGCTGAATTCTAATCACTTAAAAAAATAATAACCAAATATTCTAACAAACTATTGCTTTATGTTAGTTGAAACACGAATTATTAAGATCTTAGACATATCAATTTTAGACAGCTAAAAATTTGCTTATGTTAACATTGTCCTGCATTACTTTAAAATCAATAATGAAGGGACAACGATTTTGTAGAAGATAGGTGAGGACTATAGAAAAAGTTCGTAATTGCTGAGTTTGGTGATTGCATTTTGAAAAAGAGAGCTATATGATATAGTAATCGGATTTTTTAAGCATTGGTTCATATGCAAGGAGCATAATAAATATATAGAGTTTGAAAAAGATTTTCTGAAAAACAAAATGTTGTTCATGCAAGACCGATCGGTTCTATGTTAGCTATATGATATGGTGGTCCGATTAGTTTGGTTCCTTCAACAGAAAGAAAGACTTATCCAAATTTACATGATAATATATTTTCAACTGAGAGACTAGTTTGCATAGAAAGAGACAGACGGAGAGAGCGACATGTCTGTACCGACTGTTGTTACTGATGAAGAATATATATGGCGAGCCCATCTTCTCCTTCTATGTGTCCCGTATTTTACGACAAAATCAAAATACTCTCGTCTAGGGTATACAAAGATAAATAAATATGCTTCGTTTGCAAAACTATCGATTCAACTTTGAAATAATTCGGTATTGGTTTTATCTTCATGCTACATCTGATAGTTTGTTGAAAATGACTCTAATTTTAGCGAGTTATAGCATTTATCTCCAACGAATATTTGATACCCTTTCGCAGACTTGTTACGATATACGTTCAAATAGTTTCATTTTTGTCAAACGAGGCCCCTTCTTCATGTATTGTGTCTATAGCAAGGATATGACAAGAAGTCTCATTAACATAACTTTCTGCCAAATACTGAGAATTAGATAAATTTGGCTATTTGTATAGGCCTCTTGATGGCGACAGGGAACAAATATATATGTATATACCATATGGATTTAAACTTAACTTTATATTAAAACACAGCATAAGCTGTGTTTCATTAACATAGTCTGTCCCAAAAGCTTTGCCACAATTATTGTACCGTTGTACCGTTTCTGTATAAAAAAGTTAATTCGGAGATTAATTAGAGATAGCTTAACGTTATGTATATTAACGTTATAATTAAGCACTAACCTTCATGGTATTTTTAATCGGGAATATGAGTTTTCCTTACGCTGTTTAAATTTGTTTACATACCTACACTATCTGTAATTAAACAGGTGATAGTTTACACTTAAACCCCTGTGTTTTGGCTTCGGGGCTGTGTTAAAACAGTGTCAAAACGTTTTTTTTTCAATTGTACATATTTATGGAGTAAGTCTGTTGTCAAATTGTTGAGTAAGCCTGAGGATATTCTTTAATCTGATTGACATTGAGGCAATCTAAATAAATAAATAGATAGTTTTCATTCCTTTCATCCCTACGTGCACACATAACTTAAGGTTTAAACTGTTTATTTACTTCTAATTACAGCGCCGAAGGGACAAATCATACGGCTGGACTTTCGCAACTCGTTTAATATTGAGGCCAAGGAGGAGTGCAAATTTGATTTTCTCGAAGTAAGTAAGTCCAGCAATTATTGGACAACAACAAAATGCCTTCGCATTATAGATACAATGTTGTTGCCGGCCAAAGCAAAGGCAATGCAACGGCAAGAGCAGCAACAGCTAAACAAACCTTAGTCCGTTTCTTGGCAAAAAACTTTGTGAATAGTTTTCTTTACATTTTGCCAGCGTCGGGCAGACAAGCCCTTGGCATATCTCTATGCAGACATATTTGCATGGCCGTTTTTACAAAATGGCCCTCTCTATCTGCCAAAGTTTTAATTGAAAGTTGACATTGGACAGTTCCTTGCCAATTGTTTCAGCTACCGCCCACATGTCGTATGCGCAACGTCATTCAACAGGCAACTTTCAAGTGGCCGCCCCGCCCCCATTCCAAAAGTGACCGCCAACCCAGCCTATAAACTTTAACGACACATCCGCACATCTATGCACACACATATATGATAAAACTTTGCACATTTAGTGCTAGCTGATAATTAGAAAATAATTTTAATTGGCGCACAGCCAGTTATGTATATTAAAGGGTAACGAAACAAGTTATTTGTCGGTCTGCGGCAAAAACTAATTAAAATTACATTAGGCACTGCGTTAGGCATTTCGCATGTGTTAATATTTATGAAGATTTTTAACAGTATTACAGGCTAATGCTTCTGTCTTTTTGCCACATCATTTCTATAAGCACCTCAGCTAATTAGCCCGTGTGAACTCTGTCACACTTCAAGATATTACTGCCTTACGTGATGCAGCATATTTTTATAACATTGAATTTCGCTTTAGATTTAACTTGTCTCGGGTTTCGTTATGACACAAAAAAATAAATATGACAAAAGAAATAAAATTTGTAATTCCATATCTTTTTATCAACACAGTGAATGTTGCCACCGTGCAATATCAATTTTTATTTGCTTGATTAATCACTTCGGATTCAATTTGACATGGGCATCGCATTTCAGATGAGTTAGCTTGACAGTCGTAAATGACATTTTAAATTACGCGACCCCGGCCCAGCCAAGCTTATAAAAGAGGTGTTGCCACCTTGGCAACGCAGCGTCTCCACAGTTGCGCACAAGTATATGAGTTCCAGATTAAGTTTAGCTTGTCAACTCAAATGGACTTGAACTGTTCTGACAAGCGAAAACGGGATAACTACAAGCTGGACACTGGGCACTTTTCCAAAAGAAAATCCTCGAACAGTTATGACATGAGAAAAGAAAATCCTCTAATTACCTGAAATTAATATTAATTAACCTGCAATAAGCCTAGTTTTTTTTACCTTTGATAAAGTTTTTCATGCTATTTCGCTGACTTTTACAGATACGCGATGGCCAATACGGTTTCTCGACGCTAATTGGCAAATTCTGTGGCACAGATTTCCCACCGGAAATAACCTCAAAGGAACGGTATCTGTGGCTGCATTTCCATTCAGACGACACAATCGAATACACAGGTTTCAGTGCCGTCTACGAGTATCTGGATCGAAATCGAGAGGCGCCCAGCACGGACCTCAATTGCACCATTGAGAAGGATGGCTACGAGGGCTTCATTAACTCAACAGATGTCCCAGCTGACATCAGGGAGCAGGTGATACGCGATAAGATTGCTCTCGATTGCATTTGGCGCATACAGGTGAAAGACAACTGGAAGGTGGGTGTGGCTTCAATTTTGTAACATATACATGCAACGTCTTTCAACAAATTTCTTTCCTGCTCTCCGTCTCGTTTTAAGATATTTTTAAAATTTTTGGACTTTCATCTGAGCAAGCCGAATGACTGCGAGACCAACTTTCTGGATATATTCCCAGAGCAAACAGTAATGCCATTAAGGTAAGAGTTAAGAGCTATCCCAATGACTGCCGATGGGTGGCGTATACGCAATTTTGTGCCACAAACCAATTTCCGCTCCACGAATGCGCCACAATGTGAAGCCAGCCAAAAAGCATTTTCTAACGCTGTAAAGATCAAAGCATGTAAAGCAAAATTTCAATTTATTACCGGCCCAAGTAAATTGTATGACAGCGGAAGTTGCGGCGGCGCCTTTGACTCGTCCAACTGGAATTGTTTTGTGCCACCAACCGACGGCGACCCATCTGCCATCTGCCATTTGCCATTTGCCATGTGCCATGTGCCATTCAGTCGGGCACATCCCTCTTTCAACACGCCAACATATTACCACTTGTTGCGCCTCAGTCCCAGCTCTCATGTCGCCTCCCTCTCAGCCACACTCTTGCAATGCCATTCGATTTTGGGGCTAGCTCTAGGGTTCAGTCTTTTGTTCACACTGATGGGAATACGTCGCCGATGCTGGCGTCGAGGTCAACACCAACGGCAATGGCAACGGCATCGGCAACGACAGCACCACTCAAAGTGATTGACTGTCCGTCTAGCTGGGGCTGCCTGTCTAGTCGGTCAGGTCGACTGATACGGTGCTTGTTATACCCTTACGCAGGGTATTCAAAATTGTGACAGACACATGTGTCTGCAGGTAGGCCACTTATTCAGTTTTTAAGCCATATTGAAGGCACTTCTTCAATTGAATATCATCATCAAGCAGTTGAAAGTGAAAAATATTTCATAACTTGAGCTCTTGGCTATTCAATGCACATGCACTATAACCACGACTCTTTATTTAGCACAAAAAGGGTATTTAAATGTCAGCAAACTAAAGGGAATTGCTTCTGCCTTTTTTTCTAGTTGCCATTGCCTTTGGCAATACCTTTGATATTGTTCTCCGCGTCCCCTCGGTTTCTATTTAAATTCACTTTTCGTAACAATTTAGCAAGCGTGTTGGCCAGACAACATATCAACCTAACAATTCACTCAAGTGTGAGCATGACACGGTGTGGTCCGAGAAAACTAGCGTGCATAAGATGTATATCAAATTTTAATTAATTTTAACTCTTTGACCATATATAGTGGATGTTACACATATTTAAGCCCGGCATTGCAATTGTTTTTTACCATAAACTGAGTTGAAGAGAAACTGAGCCTGAACTTGTACCGGAAAATAGTTTGGTTGAAGATGATTACAACAATTAAAATATACAAAATCTGAAAACCAAAACTTGGTTTCAGACTAGATGTGAAAAGCCGGTTAACCGAACCAAGTATTAAGACGACGCATTGGTTCAAGCTGTGAACCAAATCAATGAATGTTTTTTATTGGGTTTGAATGTGAGCCTAGCCAAGTTTCAACTGAAAGTCAATTTGCACAATTTGAAGCTTATGCTTAATTTATGGTTTATATTAAGGCATATGGGCACATTCGGAACATAGTTTAGAGCTATGATAACTGATGAGGCTTATTAATTTAAGACCTAAAAAGTTGGGTATAAGGTAGTCTAGCAATTTAGCAGGAATACCAAATTGATTGGTTCCACCTTATTATTAACTTTAAGTTGCTTACATCATCATAGCGTTATAGAATATGATAAATAATTCATGAATTCATAAACTCTAAAAGGCGAAAATATGTCTAAATTAAATATATGTAACCCATTACAAAGCTTTCTTGCTTTAGCTTTTTCGTTTTAGGTTCAAACATGAGAGTGCACAATTTTAAGTTAAATGCTAAAAGCATTTTCACACCCCAATATTGATTGTACTTTTGCCATGTTTTCTTTTATTTGATCTGTATTTTCAACCTCTACCCCTTCCGCCGTTTGTTATATTCTTCTTTTTTTTTTGCAGAGTGAAAAACTTTTGCGGTTCGGCGGGCGAGAGCATTACGGCGGAGTCGAACATTCTGCACATGCGATTTTACGCGGAACAAAGTGCGATTAATTCAACATTCGCAATTCTGTACACAGCATTCCGGGACCGTGGATCGGGAAGTAAGTTTACAATTTTAACTAGGCCATTTCAAACATTTCAAAACTCAACGCACACTAAATTATGCTGGCGGTCGTGTTGGTTGCGGCAGCAAATCCTTCAAATTTGCGGCACGTGTGTTAACGGAACGTCTCAAAGCAAGCACCAGCAGCGGCCGCAGTAGATGTGAGGGCAGGACAATGGAATAGGGCAAAGCCTGGGCAATCCTGTGCTAAGCTAACGCTATCCCCAAGCCGCACCCAAACACCGCAAACGGCGTCGGCTTTTTGAATGGATTTTTGGGCGGCTTTTTGGCTGTCAGTTATTTTTTCTTTCTCTGTTGGCTAACAACTGTCTCTCGGCCTTGTCCATGCCTTTGTCTGGCTAACTACTTATGTATGTATCTCGTTGTTGCCTATAGACTAGCATTTACCGCCAAACTGTTTGTTTGTTTGTCTGTTTGTTTGTCAGTCTCCTAGCTGAGTTTTGCGTGATTGCCGCCTGTTGCCAAAGGCTAAGCACTCCTTTGTCATTCAACGATTGTCCTTTGTTCCTGGCATTTTGTTAACTTTGCCAGAGCTCTTTTGGCACTTTACAGTTAACAACTCCCAGCCCGGCGCTAGCCAAGGCTAACAATTGTTAGGTGACAGCCAAAACTGAGCCTGCAGCCGAGACATTGGGACGAAACTGAGCCTCTGGCTGTGAAGAAAGCTGAGCAGGAGGCAGAGGCCGAAGTCTGAGTTTTGTACTTTTAGCTGCCAGTTGCCGAAGCATTGCAATTATTGTTGCTGCAGGACGATTTGTGCTTGAGATTATGTCTATTTGCTTTTGTGTCTGCTACTGATGGCCTTTTTTATACCCTATAAAATGGCTAACGGGAGTAATGCCGCCGCAAACGTTATTTTGTAAACAGTCGTCCTTCTAAGAAGTAAGTCTGGTCTATATATCCTACTCACAGTTGGAAAGGAATTGATTACAGTCTTAGAGTCAGTGTAAGAAGACTCTTTTCGACTAATTTAAACTGTAATAACACTGCGAACAGAGTATTGCACAGTCGGTGCGATGCCGACTGTATCATTTTAGGGCAATTTAAGTTAAATTCTAATCATGAATCTTTGCCTACCACAAAAAAAAAAAAATAGCCTGCACCGAGGACGAGTACGATTGCGAGGACGCGACCTGCATATCAAGCGATTTAAAGTGTAATGAACGGGACAATTGTAAATTTCGCTGGGACGAGGAGAAGTGTTGGGTAAGTGAGAAATCAACAAACCATAAACCCACACAACCCACACAACCCACCCATCCGCCCATACACACAGCCGGCCGTAGTACGTGCACCTATTTACCCATTCACCCATTGAAGTCATCCGCAAATATAAGAGGAAAAGCATCTCCCTATCATTATGTAGGCCAAACTTCGTACATGCATCTAATTATGGGCAAACGAATGTGCCGCATACTCTTGCCTTTTATTTGAACTATGTTCAGCCACAGTGGCATAACACACACACACACACACATACATACATACATACATACAGAGCCACGCTCACAGACACGTACACAAACATAAAGTTGGCCAAATAAGTTTTGTTGCCAAAGTCTGAGATTTGTATTCGAGGCGTGGTGCCCCCACCCCCTCTCTGTGTTGTCGCCGCTTGTTGTTGTTATTGTTATTGTTTTTGGTTTTCCCAATTTTTATTTTTGTTGGTTCAGCAATTGTGTAGATGATTAGATTTGATAGGGTCACAGCCCAGCCAAGGCAAAGCCCCCTCAACCGTATTCCCTTGTGGCTCATTTAAGTTAAAAGCGGCAAATAGTTTGCATTTCTTGCGGGTTTTATTGCCCCCAAATAATGTGCGATTTTGTTGTAAATCTTGTTGCGATCGTAAAGCTCAGCTAATTGTTCAAACTCGAAAAACAACACAAAGCTGCTCTCACGCACTTGAAAACTTGGCAAATATTGAACGCGGGTATTTTACGACTTACAAGATTTGAATACTCTTTGTAAAAGATATGGTGTTTTTGAGGAGAGTTGTGTAACGTTTTGATTGAACGCATTTTACGTTTAATAAGGTAATATTTTATTATGTACTTACCCCTGTAGGTCTTGCTATTATACAAAAACAATATTTTCTAACAGATTGTTCCAATAGAATCCGATTTGAGATAGTTTTGCAGATATGCTAGGGGCATAGGAAAGCTCGTAAATGTTAAGTTTTGTCAAAATATCCTTTAAACCCATACTTTTTTTCGAACTAGTTTCTTTAATATAGGGTTGCGACCCGTCTGACTCCGATATGTAGTGTCTGCAACAAGAAGAGAGACCTGTGAGTAAGAGGGAAGCTTTTCTTAGCTACAAATAAAGAAGTTATTTGCCTACTAGAAATAATTCATTCGAAATTGAAGAGAAAAAAAAGTCATCAAACGAGCGTATGTTAGGTTCGTCAAATTGTGATAGAATGGAATCCAACTGGCAATTATACTTAATGGCACAGATAACATTATAATGCAAACATTTGTAACTATTATTGAACAATTAAACATGCGCCATGATAGTTGTTTGCTTATAAACTAATTTGATAGTTGCGTTAATTGCAGAACAAAAGCGTATTAGATTTCAAAATATCGTATGTCAAATTAGGTAGTCAAGCGATTTTTGGTGTCACTTATTTGGGTTTCGATTGTAAATGCATTACCAAATAAATCGCATTATTTTTTTGGCCACTTACTTCATAATTGGTCCAATGGCTCGATCGAACGTTCAATGAAGCGCATACACAATTTATGTTTATTTAATTGGCTCACAGTTAAATTAGTGCACGATTTTTAGGTAATTGTGTTCATCGAGCTTGCAATGGAAAAGCCACCAAAGCAGCTGCCCGAGCGTCAAATTAAAGCTAGTTGTGCATGTGGGCTATACAAAACTTTCGACAAAAACGTTACCGGTAAAATTATGTTATTTTGTATGTCGACATACTGCATAAAAAAAAAAAAACGGCAAAATACATTATACAATTTTCAAGCTGCGCAAAAAAATTCTTATTATACGTGCACCCATTGAGAAAAAGAATAGCAAAAATAGGATATAATAGTTTTGTAAAAAATTGTGTAACAGACATATTTATATTCGTAATTGGGAACAAAAGCTCAGTTGATCCAGCTAGGTCTGTCTGTTTCCCTGTATGCAGAAGAGTTTATTTTTTTCCTTTTCATATCTCCCATGTATTATGCATAAATGAGACTGGGAGTGCAGGTTGCGTGTTAGTCTAGTTAGTTTAGTTAAGAGCTGTATGTGGACTATTTTCAAAGTTATTTGGCTTCTGATCACATTTAGAAGAACAAATATTTTAAAAATATCTAAGTGTAGTTCAAGGTAAACAAATTACTTAATTAAGAAACCAAAATCAAGTAAGAGTGCATGACTAGCGGATGCCCTGAACCCTCTATCAACACTAAAAGCAGTTCTCGCTAGGGGGATAGTGGGGGAGGTGGCAATAGCTATAAAATGAAAGGTTCTTGATATTCTAGAAGCTGCATGCCAAATATGGTGACTTTAGCTCTTTAAACCAAAGAGATTTTCTCAAAAAACAGGATTTTGATATCAACTTTATCTACTGCGCGGGTAGTAGTAGGACCTACGTTCAAGTTTCTAGACACTAGCTCTTATAGGTTCTGAGATCGACGAGTTCATACATACGGACAGACCGATGGACGGACAGACAGACAGACGGAGAGAAGAAGAATATGTATATTTTATAGGGTCGGAGATGCTTTACTCTGTTTGTTACATACATTGGCACAAAACCATTTTACCCTTCTCAGCCATTTTCAATAGGTTCAGGGTATAACAAATAATTAACCAAGCTCTGACTATAAAACTATAAACTATATACAAATATGTATACAAAAATCATAAATAAAGTGAACGCTGCTTTAGATAATCGTATTGAGCAGTGATTGAAAAATAAGTTTATTTAATTTTTATTATATTGTTATTATCTCGTTGTATTCACAGAATGAAACGACTGGCCAATCCGAGCATGTGGTCATCATCATTATCGTATTTGGGCTAATACTTGGCGGCATGGTCATCACCTTTATCGTTAATTGCATACGCAAGATAATACGGGATCAGAAGATAATACGCGTAAGTATCGTAATATTGCTTGATTGTAATTAGGCAGCCCTCGGCGCGCATTTCTAGTGCTCCCCGCCCCCCACCCGTTTAGCGTGTCTTTGTCTTTGCCTACTTAATCTATTTGCCTTGCTCACACACTCTGGAATTCACGCCCTCTTGCTCGCTGTGCTTGCCCTGCTCGCTCTTGACACTGCCCTCCCCGACACCACTGAGTACACCTATTACCTCCCTAAATCCCTCCCTTTGCATTCTGTGTCAAGCTGAATAGAGCCCTTAAACTAGTCCATGCGAATAGTTTTTAAATGTTAAAATTATGAAATTTTATAGATTTTGTTACAACTGGCAATGCATATCGGTGAATTCTTTTATAATGCAGCGCACAAAAGCAAACAATTTACAAAATTTTAATGTATGTAAATTGTAAAAATTTGTAGTTATTCCAGCTGACCAGATATGCAAAATGTAACCTAAACAAAGCCTGCGTTTGCCCAAAAATTCGCTTTGCTTATTAATGCTCAGTATACGTGTGTGTGGAAGTGTGTGCGTGTGTGTAGTTGTGCGTCTATAATGTACGCTTGATGTGCGTGATTTTTATACCCCTCTTTTTATAAATGAGTACAGAATGTATTGCAATTTTCGAAAAGTATGCCTCAGCCAGAAGGTGCCTCTCCGACCCCATAAAGTATATGTATATATATATTTGAGGCCCGTATGTCTGTCCGCCAGTCTGTATGACCGCCTCGCTGTGAGAGAGTATGCTTCCAAATGCAGGCAAGGATCAATATCAAGATTTTCATGTCCCCCAAGTCGATATATTTAAATTTAATTATACGAACTTTCAAATGCCCGGAAATCTTATAACTATGTGACAATAAGCACAGCAGTTCTTTGTGAATAAACTTTTTATTAAGTGAGGCATCTATCAAGAAATTCCAGGAGCTTCCGTGGAGTGGGCCCCATTAGTCTATTGGCTACAGGGTATGTCAACTTCTTTCGGGCAATATTTAAAATTAGCAAAATCATAAAAATAAGCTCTAATTGGGGAACGCGTTACACGAAAATTACTTTAAAACAGGCCCATTATGTGTGCTATAATAATTATAACAACACGGCTTTCATTAGGCCTAACGTCTGCACTACGTAACAAATTGAGTTTTTCGATAATTAAAATGCGAAAGGCATCTCTTTGATTTGAATTGTCTGTGGTAATTTTTAAACTATATTCAATATTGCTTGTAGAAGAGCGAATCAAAGGCAAAGAGCCTTTAAATGCCTCATCCTACCCAACCTGCATAACACTTTTACTCGTATTCGCAATATTTATCGCAACACGAGTGTCGATATGTGGTCACAGATTTTTAGTTCAGTCTGCACCATACAAATAACGTATACGCCACGTGACGGGCCATTTGACCTTGACTCTGAAAATCAGATCTGTGTTGCCATTGTTGCAGATTGTAATTACAATTTATGGCACTTAGCATAAGGAAGGACAAGACCGGGACCAAATTTCATGACTCCTAGTTGGGCTCGCCCTGGGGCGTACCGAGTTCCTTCCATGGGGAGCTGCCCGCTGCAGATGCGTGTTTGCTATCTGGGGCAACATTTCATTAGCTGTCGATTTCAATACAATTCGTCTGTTATCGTCCGCCTGGCTGCCTTGCTGCCTTGCTGCCTGCCTGGCTAGCTGGTCCAGTTGCTTGGCCCTTGGCACTCAACAAGCAGCCGCATGGCTGGGAAACCATTTTATTGTCAACGCACTGCCAACGTCAGCCGCCCAGTGGCTCCCTGGGGCATTACTTGCTGAGCCAGCTCAAAAAGCGACGAGAAGCCAAGACAGAGACAGATAGTACGAGAGAGATTCAGTTTAACTTTGACTTTTGGAATATTGACGACTGGCGTTGATGAGAAACAGAAACAGAACCAGAACCTGAGACCGGAACAGAGCTCGCTCTGGAGCTTAAATTGAATATCATTCTGGACATGGCCAAAAATATACTGCATCTGCTTCACAACAAGTTAATTAAGTTAGTGTGTGTGGCCGTGGGCGTGAGGGCGTAACCGTAGCTCTGGCCCTATTTATAGAGCGCGCAAACCAGCTGCGCAGATGTTGGCAGGCCGCTTGATTAAACAGACGACCCGCAAGACACGCCCCCCTCTTTCTATTTAGCTGTGATTTGTGTGTATTTTCTTGTTTTCTAAAGCGAAAGCAAAAGTAAAGCCAAATGCTGAACACCTTTTGGCCAATTTAAGCTTACAAACACAATTTGAATTGGCGACGTGTGTGTCTGTGTGGGGCTTTAAAGTCAAAGTCTCTTGTTTAACATATCGAGTCTACCAGGCTGCCAAGCAGCCAGGCTGCCAGGCGACATCAGCCCCACGCAAGGATGTTATTTGGAGTTGGAGTCAACAACGATGACGCGTCGTCGGGTCTATTAAATTCCTACCAGCTACATATAAAAAGGCGTTCGCATCGACGCTGTCCTCGCACGAGACAAGGCGACAAGATTCCTATCACGCAACCTATTATTGTTTTACTAATGCGATTCCTCGCCAGCCACACCCACAGCATAGCTATGCCATAGCTTTTGCACTGGCCCTCAATCTGAGCTGAAATGTAGATCTATAGCTTCAACTGATGTACTTCAGCTGATATCAGTCGTTAATTAATAACTCCTCAGTTCGGATTTTTTTTTAATATTTGCTACATGCAAATACCCTGTACCCGTTAGTAGGCGAATAAACAGTATGATACATATATATATATATATATAGGTATTCAGGTATGCCAAGTTGGGCCAATTAAAATTTGAGTTCTTGAAGACCTTTAAAATAACGCAAATTAGCATTGAAAGCATGTTACAGGGTATCCCTAAGCTAAATCAACATCCTCACTGTTTTCATACAAATACTGTTTCGGGATGCCCATCAATTGTGCTCGAGAGTAAATGAAATTGGAGCTGAGAGGCCTCTTAAACTGAGCCAACTATTCAATGAATGCAGCATTGTGCTTAAGGACTAGCGAGGACAATACAAGGGTAGAGCATCTATTAAGTCAATAAATCCATTTAAAATTGTTGAGTGGCATTTCACAGCAGATATGCAGTGAGCTAAGCAGTTCAATCGTATCTGATCATAATGGGAATAATAGTTATTGCCAAGCTTACCAATTGATTTCAAGTATCATCCACGCAACATGCAAATGCCAACAGGAATTTTGAAGAGCCAAACAAGTTGGTTTGCAGACAGCATGAACATGAATATGCATCGGGGGAAAAGCCCGAACGTAGTCAAGGAAATCCCCTGTACCGCCAGCCGTAAGAGATACGCATTAGAATTGATTCTTGCAATTAGACGTGCCTTGTCTAACATTTTTCTGTTTTGAACACATTTGTTATTTGTTTATTTTTATGCTTGGAAAGCCAATTCCCTTGTGCTTATGTACTGAGAATATTTTTGTGGTAGCTAAAAATTTAACAAACATTGAAATATATGATTTCATAGCAAGGCCCTTGCCACATTTAAATTGCCCGAATCATAAAAATCTAAGGAAATCAGTTCGTTATTTCCAAATCCAAGCATCAGTCTAGGTTTCGGGCATCAGTCTAGGTATATTACAACCCATACGACAATGGCGACAGTACATAGGCCGTGTGTTGTTTTGCAATATAAACTTTTTTTTCAACCTAATTGAATTACACACTGTGCACAGTGGTACGCCCACAATCATGTACACAATTAAATGGCAATCAACAATTTGTGGAAAAGTTTCCACATCAATTGGCAACGCAGTGCAGTGAATTATATAGGTATATTTAATCATACCTATCGCATTAATTTAAAGCTAGCGCTCAATATTTGAAGACTTGTCGTATGGTTAATGCTCGCATAGGACAGAAGCTTTAAACAGCGATGGGCGGTGGGCGAAGGGTTGAGGGTGGGGCTTGGGGCTGATGGCTGCTGGATTGCTGGTTATTGATGCATGCAACTCTTAAAGGCTGACATATCCAGCCGAATTGTAAAACAAGCGCTGACTATGCACGTCGAACAGTTCAATTAACACACACACACGCTTACACTCAAACGTGCACCTGCACAAGGGAGTGCTGATGGTTGTTGGCACGGGGGGTTGGGGGGAAAGCTTGGCAATCTGATTATCGCCTCGAGTGCTTGGCAGAGGTTCAAGTGTGTGACTATTAGAGTGGGGTGGAGAGTGAAAGGGAGGCGCATTGATGCTCTGCGTGCCTCACCATTTTGGTGGTCGCCCTCGAGCGGCAGGTCCAATCCCAGCCCGCCCAGATCACACAGTTTTCTAGAACGTGAAAAATTATGCTATCGATGGGCATGGAAATGAAAATGGCAAAGGCAGCGGGCACAGGCGCGGGCGCGGGCGCGGGCGGTTGGCAAAGTAAAAACTCCCGCACTTTTTTATGGTCGCTCGCATTTATGAAACTGCATCAAATAAATTTGCACAAGGCGCACATCAAATCAAATCAATTCAACGTCAGCGGATTTGATGAAATCATTCAGCAGTTCGATCGATGTTCAACGGATAAGCTGGCGGCTTACTGCCGGGGCGGTTGAGTTGAGAGGCTGACTGACTGCGTGTGTGTGTGTGTGTGTGTGTGAGGTGCGATATCAATGCGTCGACAACCCACAAAGAAATTGCTTTGCAGCAATACCATCGATAGCTACTTTAATATGCCACTAAATGACGGCCCAACTGCAAATTCAACAAGTCGGGGAAAATAAACAAAAATTCAGCAAGAACAACCACAAGCAGAGCGAGAGAGAGAGATGGTTAAAGGGATACATATTTGCACAAACTCGTATACAAATGGTATATATACATATTTTATATATATTTCCATATTCCACAGTTTCACAGTATCCAAGTTGGGGTCGTTTGTTGCATGCAGCGCATTCCCCATTGCCCCGCGCTTGCCTTGCGGCATGCCGCCCATTCTTTTATCCGTTGGTGCTGCTGCTGCTGCTGCTTTTTTATGTCC